AGAATTACAATAAGTAATTAAGAGTTTATAATTAACTCTAGTGTAATTAAATTAATGTTAGACATTATAAATTATGTGTATTAAAGAGGAGAGAGAAAGAAAATAACTATATATATATAGGATTTGAGAGTATTATAATCATTTTATGTTTATAGTTAATGGTATATTTTTTTTGTTATAGGAAAATCCTCCCACTCTCCTATAGGTTCAAAGTAGCGCCCCTCGCAAAAATTACTAAAGTGTAGTTAACGGTATTAACAGTTACACCTTAGTATAAAAAAAACCTATATGAAAGCTTTCTGGCAATATTTGAATGACTAGTAGGTGACTCATGCAATGCACCAAAATTTATTTTTTTAAATAATTGATTTTGAGTCTTAATATTTTATGTGTAAAAAATTTTAACAATTTAAAACCAAATACAGACAGATTTTTTAATGACTGATGAAAATTTTTGTCATTGTGTGTAATCCTATGTAAAATAGGCTCATAAAAATAATTTCTTTAAAAGTAAAAAAAAAAAAAAAAGTATATTCTCAGCCTGAAATCAAATTCTTATTTGTGTTAATCAAATTTATCAAAAATCACAAATTCCACTTGTATTGAAATATTTTTTTTGAAAAAAATAAAAATAACAAAAAATTCTATAATATATAAATTATAACTTGGTTATAATTCATGATATATTATTTTGATTATTAATCGAAAAGGTCTTTACTAACTTCTTATGTTTTTAGTTATTTCTAAAATGGTGCATCAAATCTTTAATTATACTTCAAGTGATGTTTGATTATAATCTATTATAATATTTTTATATGACAATATTTAAATATTTTATTGCACAAAAAAGTACGTAAGATGGGTTGACTCAAAAGTGAGATTTATGCTTACATCAGTAAGATCGTAAAAGTTATTCACATTGATGCATAAAAAATTTCAAATTCAAATCATAAATAGCGTGCTCAAAGGAAATCAAGTATAAAATCTTTACAATCTTAATAATTTCAGTTATCAAAGGAGTTCTGATTAATTATGTGATATATTATTATAATTGCAAAATTTTTATTCCAACTAAATTATTTTTGCATATTTTTTTGGGCAGAGCTCATGAATATGTATTATCAGTAATACTATTCAAAATTTTTATTTAAAAATTATTCAAAAAAGCATTAATAGGTGCCTTAAATATACACAATCATTTTCGATGAATCATTATTCTTTAAAATAATACTCCACATTATTTATCATTTGACATTTATCAATTTATCTTCTAAAAACTTGACAAAAAAAGTTATTGAGTTCCATTATTTTAATTAATCAATATCAAAATTGAGTTAACTTTAATTAATGTAATGATATACAATCATAAAGAGTTAATTTTAATTAATATAATGATATTTTATATTATGATATATGTCGAGAATAATATTAATTTTAAATAAAATTTTAATTTTAATTATTTATTTTAATAATCTTAGCCTTATCGTTCTATAAAAGTGTTACTTGAATACTTATATATAATAAATTTAGTTAAATTATTTGTGGTGGCTCGAGCGATGATGGCTCTAGCGACAAAACGATGGCTCTAGCCATCAGCTTATTTTCAGTATGTTTTCAAAAGATGTTTTGAGTTCATATCTTCGCTCCCATCTCTTTCCGGGCATCCTTAGACACGAATTATGAATTATTAAGGATTAATAACCTAAGAAACAACATAAGTAAGTGAATTAGAAAATATGAGACTAATTCAAGCATGTGGTTCATGTGTATAAGTTACGTGAAATCGTTTGAATAAGAAATCAATGTAAGGAAAACTAAGCCATATTGGCCATACAGATGTCTAATGATAAGATATGTTTTTTGTTATGCATGTTTGTGTTTGTAGGTCAACGTTCGGAGATTGATCAAACGTTTTTGGAAGCCTACTGTGAGTAACGTTATTGTAAAGATATGTTCATATGAATTATATTTGACATGTTATTTGATAAGTTATGATTTGTAAAATGATATTTTGTTAAGTGAACGAATACCCTATTTTTGAATCTACTATGGCATCCAAAGAATGTCCTAAGTCATGGGGGACAACATGTCAATGCGGGTCCATGACATATATGTGATTACAAGATCTTGTTAGCCACTTGACCAAGTGGTGTTATGTTTATGTTCTATTAGATGTACTATTATGATATGTTCTATTGGATGTACCATTATTATGTTCAGGTATAAGTATGATTATGTTATGATCTGTTTTATGATTATGATATGTTTGGAATTTGTTCACAAACCTCTTTATCTTAATGTTATTTACTGGGTTTTAACTCACTGTTTATATATATATATATATGTAGGTGAGTGAGTGCAAGATCAAGTCTAATGGCACTTGTCTAGATCTATGTTTTTGTGGGCCAACTTATGCGTCTCTCGTTCCAGATACGTCATGTGGTTAAGGCTATGAGAATCTAAGTTTTGTTTTCTTCTGTCATGTTTGAATGAGTTTTTGTTTATTTTGTGTATGGGACTAAGCCCCTTTTGACCTATCTGTATTATATGATGATGTCACGATATATGTATATAAGGTTGAAAGATTTTCTATTTTATATAAATCTGCACAGCTCAATGGACGATATATATTTGTATTTTGCTTCCGCAGCCCCTTATATTGTGATTCGGTTAAGAGGCTTTCGGTAATTTTAGGATTATTGGCCAGTCATGATGCTAAACCTATAGGGGCGGGTTTGGATGGTGACATTGAATTAGTAATATAAAATTAAAGGTAATTTTGATTATTTAATTTTCTTTTATAGTCATTTGGAAAAAAACAATATGTAGAAATAGAAACCATATAAAATTTATTATAAAAATTAAATATAAATATGGTGTAGTTGAATTATTTTATAATGATTTTTTATGATATATATTTAATTATAAGATAGTAAAATAAACACTTATTTTGATATTAAAAATAATAGTTAAATTAGAAAGAGAATTAGTAATATAAAATTAAAAGTTATTCTAATTATTTAATTTAATTTTTATATTTATTTGGAAAAAAATATGTAGAAATAGAACTATACAAAATTTATTTAAAAGATTAAATATAAGTATGTTGTGATTGGATTAAGAAAATACATGGATTCATTATGTAGATTATTGATTTTTTTTCTTTATTATTCTTTATGAATTATTCATACATATTTATATAGATATATAAAATCAAAATTAGATATAAATATTTTGTAATAAATAATTTAATGTTAAATAAAAAATTAAATATAAATTAATATTAAGACATTAATAAGATAGACAAAAAATATAAAATGCACATAATCAAACACATTATGTCTTATTTATTTATCAAGATAATTGTTTTTCAAATATCATAATAATTCAATTAAAATATCAATTATATAAAATAAATATGACGACAAAGCTAAATACTATATGAAAAATATATGGAAAATAAGTATTTTTCAAATAGAATTCATATAAAATTGGTTATTATAATTGAAATTGAATTTGTATAGAATTTTATATATAAATGGAAAAGACATGGTAATATGATTTTTTAGAAAAAAAGAAGAAGAAGCCTTTAGAATGTCATACAGGAAAAATAAAAACACTACTTACATATATAAGGGACAAAGCGGTCTAATCTCAAAATGAATTTAACCTAAAAAAATTCCAAAGAAATTAGAGGGACAAATAAGCATGGGCCCATTTGTTTCCCGATCTAGCAGTCCGGATTGGATTGTTAGTGATGAACAATAGATCAATATTAGCCTCCGTTTGGGAAGTGGGTTGGCTTTTTGGCTTTTTGGCTTTTTTGGCTATTTTAGCCTGGGCTTAAAAGCTTGATTTGGGAAGGACTTTTTGACTTTTTGGCTTTTTTGAGTTTTATTGTGAGAGGAGAATGTAATGATTATGGATTGGATGTGATGTTTTGTTTGTTATGGCTAAAATAGCCTATTTTGTTTTTTGTGGCTAAAATAGCCAAAAAAGCCTACAAACCCACTTGCCAAACACAGGCTAATATGTTTGTTTTGGAAAATAGAGGTTCAAACTGAGAGTCCCTTCGAACTCCAAAAAATCTTGGACGAACAGACTAATGGTCTGAGTGATGAGATGCTATTTAGAAATAATTAATTTGGATTAGAGTGTTACCGGTCGGCCGATGAATCGGCGAAGTGCAAATTTTTTTTTTTTACATGTGTGGCCATGGTCACACATATTAAATATTAATATTTGTTCGTTTGTTTGTTTTTTTTTTTTTTAATTAAGTAAAAACTATGATTTTTATTTGTTTTATTATTTTATATAAAAATAATTTAACAATTCCTATGCTAACAACTATCATCAAAGCTCTTTCACTAACAATTCTTTAACAATTCTCATACTAACATAGTGAAAAAAAATAATAATAATTTTCACCCTAACAATCACCTCATTAACAATTAGGGGTGTGCGCGGTGTAATTTGAGCAATTTAAGAATAAAATTAGAAACTGAATGGTGGATTATAATTCAAAATATATTTTTTGTCAATAGTAAATATAGTTTTTAAAATAAATTGTTAATAAAAATCTGTTTCAATCAAGTAACTGTTGACAATAAATTTTACATATTAAACAACTTGATTATCAAAAAAAATTCATGATAAATTTCACAAGCCTAATAATATTATCTAATTCACTTTATAAACCGGAGACAAGGCTGATAATTTTTAACGTAGCTGGCTGACAAACCCCTCCTATACTACGGCTAAAAATAAACACCAAGAATCCTTTAGAGTTTTTTTTTTTTAAATTTCTTAGAGTGGTGTGTTGTATGGGTGAGATTTAATGTTAAAAAATTAATGTGACCACTCTAAGAAATTTTAGAAAAAAAAACTCTAGAAGGTGCGTGCTAAAAAATAAACGGGATCTGGGGGTGAGTCAGGTAACGAAAGGACAAGAGAGAAATTAGAATAAAGATTATAAAAAAAGTTTTGGTGATATGATAAGAGGCAGAATTCACATGTGAGGTGGATATTTTATCATTTATCATTGTCGTCGGAGAAATTATTGTCATTTGTGTAAAACGCAAACGCTGTGTGTTGAGGCTCACTAGTAGCAGTGAGCCCAGCAGATGTTGAGTTGCATTTGTTTATGTAGCACCAGACTCTTTTCTCCAAATCCCATCGCCGGAGCGTTGAAATTGAATTCAAACGCTGTGTGTTGAGGCTCACTAGTCGGAGCAACTTGTCAGTTACAGCTATGGAAGCTCCTCCTCAGACAAAACAACCCCATAATAACTCCTTTGAATTCGATGGTTTTCTCTCCAACAAACCCTACAACCCTCCCTCCTGGGCCTCCCATCTCAACCCCATTCCCTCTCACATCTTCTCCTTCGGAAACGTATTCATATCCCCTCTCACCTGCTCATTTCAATTTTCATGATCATCTTCTTTTTATTTTGTTTATTTATTTTATTTTCTTCTTTCTTCCCAGTTTCCTGCTCCAATTCACAAATGGAACCTTCCTAATTTGCCCAACAACACTCAAGTTTGGTTGAAGGTAACTAACTAACTAACTTACTTTTCTATTCTTTTTCATTTGCCCCCTTTTGATTTAGTATTATCACTCATGAGTAGTAGTTGTATTATGCTAGTTTGTTAGCTTTGTCAACTTAATAAGCAAACAAACACGCTTTTGGATTCAATTTTTTTTTTTTTTCTTTTTCTAAATATCAATATGTTGTGATACCTACTTTATGTGCAATAAATAGGGTCATTTCCCAAAATAAGTCAAACTACTAATCTATTTCCCAAACTAAGCCTAGTTTGACCGAAATTCTCAAAATAAGTTGAAGCGTTATTCCAAACCATGCTTTCACCATATTTCTGGGCCAGCCGCGGAGAATGGATAAAAATCATAAAAGCGTGGTTACAAACCACGCTTTTAATTAAGAAAGTACGGTTACAAACCACGCGTTTAAGGAAATCTATTTTACGAAGAAAGCGTGATTTCTAACCACGCTTTTAAATAAAATTGTTTTGTAATCAAAAGAGAAGACAAGTAGGGAGATAGCTCAAATGGTAATGTGCTTCTTTTCATGGGAGAGGTACGGGGTTCAATCTCTGCATCTCCAAACTCTTACTTTTTCCAAATTCAATTTAACTTCTTTTTTTTTTTTCATTCCACTTACTCTATACTTTATATATTTATTATGTAATTTTTTTTTATCAAAAAAAAAAGTAAAACGTTTGTTTGGTTAACTAATATTTATAATAAAAATTATATTTAAAATAAAAATAAAATTTTTACAATTTTTTAATATTTAACTATTAAAAAAATATAACATATAAATGTATGAAATATAATACATATTAAAATAAATAAATAAATATTTATGTGTTATATTTTTTTAATATTTTAAATATATTTTTTAAATGTATGAAATATAATGCACATTAAAAATGTTTTTGGATTGGAGGACATGTTTGGAAGAAACGAAAAGTGTTTGAAACAACATTTTTGGATTTATTTTTTTAAAAATATTAAAAAATGTTTAAGAAATTTTTATTTTTTTATTTTAAATATATAATTTTTTTCTTTTAAATATTTTATTTTATTTTATAGGAATATTTTTAATATTTTAATTTTCATAAAAATATTTTAATATTTTGATATTTTAATTGTAAATATTTTGATTTTCGGAATATTTTTAACCTCATAACCAAACACATAACTCGACACTTCACACTACTTTCAAAACTCTACACTCAAATCGTAACCAAACACATAAGAAAAAAAATTAAAATATTTAAAAATAATAAAATAAATATTTATAATAAAAATTATATATTTAAAATAAAAAATTTAAATTTTTTAATATTTAAAATATTAAAAAAATACAACACATAAATATTTATTTATTTATTTTAATGTGCATTATATTTCATACATTTATGTGTTATATTTTTTTAATATTTTAAATATTAAAATTTTAAAAATTTATTTTTTATTTTAAATATAATTTTTATTATAAATATTAGTTAACCAAACAAACGTTTTACTTTTTTTGATAAAAAAAAATTACATAATAAATATATAAAGTATAGAGTAAGTGGAAGGGGGAAACAAAAAAAAGTTGAATTGAATTTGAAAAAGCAAGAGTTTGGAGATGCAGAGGATTGAACCCTGTACCTCTCCTATGGAAAGGAGTGCACTACCATTTGAGCTACCTCCTTACTTGTCTTTTATTTTGCTTATAAAACAATTCTATTTAAAGCGTGGTTTCTAACCACGCTTCCTTTACAAAACAGATTTCCTTAAACGCGTGGTTTGTAACCACGCTTTCTTAATTAAAAGCGTGGTTTGTAACCACACTTTTATGATTTTATCCATTTTCCGCGGCTGGGCTAGAAATATAGTGAAAGCGTGGTTTGGAATAACGCTTCAACTTATTTTGGGAATTCCGACTAAACTAGGCTTAGTTTGGAAAATAAGCTAGTAGTTTGACTTATTTTAGAAAATGGCCCCAATAAATAGAGTGAAAAAGTACAAAATGCAACCCTAAAGAGGAGGTGCATTGGATTTGGGCAAGCTAAAAAAGAAATTTTGTATATAGACCATGAGGAAAACATTCCTTTGAACAACCCTGAATGAAAATATGTTCTTTAAACAAATATTCATAGCTATGAAGCATTGATACTTATAAAAGGGAGTCGTATCCGTACATGGATAACTATCCGATACTTTGTAAAAATATCCGACACTTGATGTTAATTTTGACAAGCATGGGACACTATTAAGACATTCTAGGTTACATATCCAAACTATTATGAAATTCAAATTGTAATAATTTTTGCATATTGGTAGTAAAATTGTTAAAATAAATACAAGGACAGTTATTAATATTTTCTTATTTCTTACCGAAAAGAAAATAGTGAAATTAAAGTAGTCTTTTCTTTTTTAGATTTTATCAACTTAAAGTATCCACTGAAAATAAAAAATAAAAAAATTGACTATTGGGTGTTAAACTAGTGTAATGTCTAATTCCTAAAAAATGGTTTCTCACTATTCTTTAAGTTCATGTATAATATAATACTAAAAATTATTATTTTTTTTTTTTCTTCTACTTATCATAGCCATACTTGTATTCAATTTTTTTTAGATTTGTCGTATCACCATATGTGTATCCCATATTTGTATCCATGTTCATAGGATATGAACTACCATCTTGTTAATGTATCAAATGGGTTATAATTTTCTCAAGATTTCTTATATCCAATGCTAGTGTCTTTGGTTCTTCATTTGGCCTGAACGGTTGGTTGGCACTTTTTGTGGTTTGTATTATTTGAGTTTGCAAGTAGTGGCTTGAACCCTTCGCCACTTTAAGGAATATGTGTTCTGTTTCATTTTGGCATTAATGTTTCTATTTTGGGTAATCACTGATCGGTTTCATTCATATGTGTGCTTTTGATCAGTTGTATTCACGTGAAATTTTGAGTTGTCACATATATTTCTTCTCTCTTGGTTTACACTCATACAAAAAATTGCATTTGTATAGCGTGATGACCTTTCAGGAATGCAGTTCAGTGGTAACAAGGTCAGGAAACTGGAATTCTTGATGGCAGATGCTGTGGCACAGGGGGCAGACTGTGTTATAACTATAGGAGCCATCCAAAGCAATCACTGCCGGGCTACTGCTGTAGCTGCCAAGTACTTGAATCTAGACTGTTACCTTATACTGTTCACCTCGAAGGTTACTTATTTCGCATTTTAGAAAAATGTTCTTGTTTTGGAAACAATTTTCTGAAACAATTTCTGCTATGTCTTCATATTCTGCAGGTTCTTGTGGACAAAGATCCTGGATTGACAGGCAATCTCTTAGTTGAGCGTTTGGTTGGAGCCCATATTGATCTTGTTTCAAAAGAAGAGTATGCAAAAATTGGGAGCTTGGTAAATCCATTTTATTTCAGTCTTTCTCTAGATGCACTACGATTGTCATGACCCCAACCCCACATTTGGGGATTGGGACCATGACTGGCCAGTAGCACCGTGCTACCGAAGGCATGAGCTGAACTGAATAGAATGTGCATGTGTTTCTTCTTTTAAACAATTGTATTACTAATGGAAGCTTATTCATGAATAATTGTGTATTCATCTCATCAGAACAAGTGTCTATGTCCACATTCCCATTCTCAAATGTATATGTTAAACATAAATATATTACATTACGCTTGGTTGAGGATACTAGAAGGCCATCATGTTTCTCCATTGTTGTATTACATCCAAAAGCGACATAACTAGTCTCATTCATACACTAACATCCAGGACTTCCTCTGTTGTACAGAAAGTCTTCATAGAAAATGTACAAATTTCCTTCCTACTTGTGCCTCTTAAAATAATTAAACATAATAGAGTGAGCTACAAGCTCAATGAGCTGAGAAGCACGAAGACTTCTACTAAGAACGTGGCATGTTGGTGTCCGACATGTGTCTCCACTTGCCCCCTTCATGGCTCTGCCAGTGGGTTTGGGACTTGAACTTTTGGGCTCTGTGCGTTTGTGGGCTGCACATCTCTGTTGGTGTACTTGCACTTATGCATGTCTTTTGTATTTAAGCAAGAAGCTGCTATGAAATCAAAATGATAAAAGTTACTAAAAATTGTCAGATACTTTACTGAAAAGGCTACACATATTGAGGAACCACATTGAATTAATTGTTTGTCTCTGTGTATTTTGTAAGGTGTATACCATATAAATGTTATTTCTTTCATCTCTCATTCTCAATGAACCAGAATTCATGTTGGATGAGTAGTCCTTGATTGATTGATTGATAAGTACATGTATTAAAATTATACGACACTTTCCATGCTATTTTTGTTGATTACTAACTGGTACACTTTGTGTAGCAAATATGACAAAGTTTTCCTTGTGTTTCTAATTGTAGGCTCTTACTAGTTTGCTAAAAGAAAAGTTGGTAAGTGAAGGGAGAAAGCCATATGTCATTCCTGTTGGTGGATCAAATTCTCTTGGAACCTGGTGAGAAAAGGATATGCCTTTATACTCTTTGTGCCTTATGATTTTTGTTTTCTATTGGGCAGTACAACTTTCTGAACATTGTGAATGGTCCATTACTGCTACATCAACGGATTAGATTTGACATTTTTTTGCTTAATTTAATTTTACAAACTGGCCTTTTGGCAAACTTCATGGAAAGAAAGTGATCTTCCTGAGGATGATTTGGCATATAACTCATTCACATTTTTTGGGATAAGTAACATATAACTCATTCACGACAATTGCCAAGTCTTGTATTATGCGTCAATTGCTATGGGCACGGGAAGCTATGTGTTCCATTGCTTTTTCTTTCAACCATTTATAGAATTCATGACATGTCATCTCAAAAATATTTATTCTTCTGTTTTGTCGTCCAAAGAATTGCAGCAGTGAAAGGTATTGGGTTTAATATTAAGTGAAGTCCTGGTTGCATCGTTTACTTTTATTTCACAATGAAAAACTTGTATTATAATTAGACCATGAAGAATCGTCATGCTTTGTACTTTCTGCTGATAATGTATGTTGGTTGAGTTTTATGGGAAATTTTATTCATGGATTTGGGGAGGGATTTGGAAAGGGAAAAGGAGAAGGTATGTGCTCAAATCCATAAACCAAACACAACCTTAATTAGTAGAATTTTGGTGCTGGTGTCTCATAGTAGGCTTGAAAGTTTGGTACTCATATATCCTTCAGATTTTACACTAAATCAAGGAGATACAGCATGGCAAGTTTAAATTGATAAATCTTGTTCACTCCATGCACCCTCTTAAATTGTAATCAGAAGTGTTTATTTATGAGACAGATATATGAAGTAGGTGCAGGATTTGTGTCTGCTCTCTCTGTCAAGTCTTGCTAATATTGGTTTGATAGTGGACATTATTGTAATGATTTATTGTTTTCTCTTTCTCATAGTGAGCTTGTTGGTTTACATGGTACCTTGTTAGGGGCTTCAGTTGTAACGCCCTGGATCCAAAGACCCAGAACTGCAAACCAGAATAGTAACTTAACGTGCCAAGTGATAAGGGATTTATGTTTAAAAAGATTTATTTTCTAGTTAAATATTTAAAGTGACATAACCTGTTTAGAAAAATTAATCATTTAAATTATTGTTCAGTTATGATTGCTGTGGAATAGTCTGATGATCACACCCACCCTGTACAAGTTGCATACATACATTCTCCACTTGGTCTCCATAAAGTGATAAAATTATACATATTCTTACAAATGAAATAACAAGAATTCTAAAGCAGGAACAAAAGGTTCGGGACCGCCCATAACAGCTCTAAATCCTGTGTAGGAGATAGGGTGGAAACCCTACTCGAAATGAGCACTATTTTATGCCTCCCTACACCTCCAAAATAAACAAATCTAAACTATGCTACAAATACAATAGTACACTCAAATTACAACAAAATATCTAAGGCAATACATAAGAGTGATTCTTCAAGTCCCAAACACTACTCAATGCAGTTCCCTCGGCTTGTTAAAAAGAAGGGGTTACTTCAACATGCTCAGTAGGAAAAGTCTTTTACGACCCTACATGATATTATGGTGATGTATGCAAGTGTTCAGGTATAACTTACATGAATTCGATACAAGAATAAACCTATCATGTTCTATCCTATATCCATTCTAGTCAACCACCTAGTTCCCATCTAATACAATCCTTCATACTCAATTTAGTTCAAGGTTGACTACACAAGTCCCAACACCATCCTAAGTCATTTTCTCACTCATACCAACTTCCAATCGGGGACAAGCTCCAACTTGACATGTTAAACCAAGCAAACATATTCACAGTAAATCACGCAAAGCCATTCAGCTCATCATGTCACATAAAGATAAAGGAACTATCATAGTACTATGCATAAACTAATAATGATATGTATGCATACCAAAACAAATACGCATGCACATGCACATAGACATACATTTCTGGAATTTAACATGAAGATTGTGTTGGTTTGGCTTTGCTCTTGGATCATATTGTTTTCAGTCAAAGGCCATAGTGGGTTGATAAAAAGATTGTCCTTTATTTTTGGTAATTGCATTTTTCTTTTATAGAAAGTGAAATATTTCTTGACTATTTGGACTTTAATACTCTCAAACTCAAGTTTTCATAGCCTTTTCAATATTTTCCTTTGCGACTTCTATGATCTCTGGTAAAAGCTTACATTCAGTGTGTTGATGTTAGCACTTTGCTTTTGATCTCTTGCATCTTATTTTTCTTATATTGATCTGTTTCATTGTACTTATAAAAGATTGGATTCTCAGGGGTTATATTGAAGCAATTAAAGAGATAGAGCAGCAGCTCCAAAGTGGGAATAGCGAAGCAGGGTTTGATGACATTGTTGTTGCATGTGGCAGGTTTTGTTCTATTCCATGTATTATTTTTTATGGCTAGAAGCATTTTTTCTACATTTGATTATGACTTCAGCTATGCCTATCTAATAATTAGGCATTGTAACAGTACTTTTATAGATATTTTATTTCTAAGGAAATGAGTGGATTCGATCCCTCAATAGTAACTAATGTTAGGTTTTTTGTAATTGGCAATCCCGTTAGACAAAAACACATTCACCTGTAATTGCTTTTTTTTTTGTATTTCTATTTTTTTTTTGGTATCTGTGAGGTTATGAGAGTTTAGATGCAAATCCAACCCGTGTTGTGCCTGAGTAGAGGAGTTTGTGCTGACTTGAGCAGTCTGTGTTTGCCTCTTCGGTGACTAAGTACAGGGATTGAGCTGCTTGGTCAGCTTGTAGGGGTTGAGGGGGCGGCGCCTAGGCAGGGTCGAGGGGCAGCGCCCCTGAAGCAAAAAGCAAAATTGCATTTGAAGTTGCCTGTCCGCCCTTGCTCGCTCGTTCAGTATCTTAGCCTGCATTCTGAGCTTTTGGGAAACATGTTTTACTGCTCGAGTGATAGATGTTGCGCTCAAGTAGTTGGCCTATATGTAAGCACCGCCTTTAGTCACACCGCTCGAGCGGTATTTCCTTAGTTCAAGCTGTCTTTGCGGCTCTGTTTCATATAAAGTGCATCGTTTGCTCATTTTAGGGTTGAACCCGTCCTGATTCTTAGAGAGGAGTAAAAAATGAAGTGTTATATATGAGTTGTCTTGATGTATAGAAAGTAATTGATTGATCAATAAACTACATATTGACAAATATCAAGAGTTATTTTTGTTCTTTTATTCACAAAAAGAGAGAGGTGTTCATCGGTGGATTCTAGAGAATTTGGGCCTGAAGTTTTGGTGGATTCCGGAGTAGCTCATCGTTGTGAATTTGACATCGGCGTTGTGGATTCAACGTTGGGTAAAGCAATTCGACGTGAAGACTGCGGTGGAAGAGGCACATCGGGTTTGGTTCAACTCGGGCATGGATTCGCTAGATAATTGAGCGTTTTTGTGTGTAATTCTTTTTTGTCTTCTTAGTGGATTGTTTTATCGCTTTAGCCCATAGTTTTTTATCACAATTGGAGGAGTCCAATTGTGAATTTTTCCACATTAAATCATTGTGCCGATTTGTTATTGATTGTTTGATTGAGATTGCTATTCATTGTTTCAAATTGAATCATAATCATAAATCAATATCTCGAGGTTTTAAGATTTTTCAACTAAATTTCAAAACTGTAAACCTGAAGGATATCTAAGTGATAGTAGTATTTGGTGTTGGTTGGTTGGTTTATGATGCAAGTGAATTTTCTAACACATGTTCAAAAGGACCAAGTATTGCTAGCCTAATGCACGGAGTGGTTTGATTCTGTCTACTTCAAATACATTTTTGTATCTGTCTGCATGGCTTTGTTGTGCAAATAATGCCAGGGGGTTGGTTTACACATTCTGCCCTTTTCAGCACCTGAATTTATAGTACCATCATTAGGTACAACCTTTTTCCCAATTTACTTGGTTTTCTTATGGGATGATGCCAATGGTTCCACTAGAAGATCAATTTGTGGTAGGTGCATGTATCTAGGTTGTAAACACATACTATACGCAACTGAGGTATTGTATTGTTTGACTTCTCTACAAAAATTTAAAATTCTACTCATAATCTATGGAGGTGATGCACATATGTTTGAGAAAGTGGAAGATAGCAAGCTGAATGGGGAAAGGGCACGAATAGGCTTGAAACGGAAGGTGACAGATTACTGAAAATAACACTACATGGTGCAGAAATTTATGGATAAAAGAGAATTGTGGGTTGTATTGTTTGTGGTAAAACTAACAGGCATAAAGTGTAGGGTAAATTGTAAAGAGTTGTACGAGTAGGAAGATTCAATCCTGTCCACTTTTATTGCAGGCACTAAGTGGAGAAGTATATTTTAGGAATCTATCTCAAATTGAATTACATGGGAATCCCTCTTGGGTTAGTGTTCCACCACATATTCATAGGCCGCTGATGAGGAAGAAAAAGTCGCGCACCAGGCTTTGTTATGTAAGTACTTGTATGTGCATACATGGGATCGATCAACATAACCATAACAAAACTATGGCGCTTGCAGGGGCTTTACAGAAGGTAAAATGAATTAGGGACTCAGTTGGCCTACTGGATGGAACTACCCACTACTTTGTCAATGTGGTCAACCAAATTGGAGCAACAAAGAAGACCCAGTCATCGGATGGTTCACATCATACAAAACTCATCTGACATCTCCTTCAACTGCAACCAACTCGGCTGATTTGACTCGGTCATTACCTCGCTGAGCTTTACCTCCTTTACGACTGAAATCACTCCCCCACCGTATTTATAATCACCCAACTAAACTAGATGCCAAAGCAAGCCAAAATTATTGAAATTCCCTTGAACTGTAAAATAACTATGATACCCCAAATTATGTAAATCTGACTTTCTCCTACCAAAATATATTGCAATACAAATATATAGAAAAGTATGAATGCAATATGATAGGCAGTAAACCATGTAATTTTTTGGGACCGTAGCATGATATAAAAAAATATGGTAATGAGTGATTTTCGTTTTTCATGACTAGTAAGGACTGAAACATTGGATTAATAGCATTCTTATGGTTTGCTTCTTGTACTTGAACTATGCAAGTGCTGAAACTTGTTGGCTTTTTTAGAAATCTGTCTTTAAATAGCTTGCTAGCTAGTTGATTGTAGCAATAGTACCCAGCTGGGTTGTTTTTATCTTTTCTTTTATTTTATTTATTTATTTTATTCAATTTTATTTTATTTATTATTTTACTTTCTTGTGTAAAATGGTGCAACCAGACTTCTTAAAACTGAAAAGATTGGAATTGCCTCGGCCTCAACAGATACTTCATAGCTTGACTGTACAGTTATCTAGCATTTTCTTTGCGATGATTATAAGCAAAAACGTTCTATCAGAGACTATGCTTAATAAACTGCTGATGTTCATTTATCATGATGTTTTTCTTTGCATTATTTTAGTGGAGGTACGATTGCTGGTTTGGGGATTGGATCATGGCTGAGTAAATTGAAGGCAAAAGTAAACTTTCTTTTCTCTTGGCTTCACATTTGCTCTGCTTATTGTGACGATTAACTTCATTAATTAGTTGTGTTGGTCTTAGGTTCATGCATTTTCTGTATGTGATGACCCTGATTACTTCTATGAGTATGTTCAAGGCCTACTTGATGGACTCCAAGGAGGTGTTAGTTCACGTGATATAATTGACGTTCAAAATGTGAGTACATTATTCAGTTAGCTGATATCAATTTGGTATAAAAACATTTTGTTCTTTCACAACATAACATGTTATCATTTGTTGGCTTTATTCTACCTCTTTTGAAGAAAATTATTTGCTTAGTAGAACATTCACAGTCATAGGCTAGGACTGAGCTTTACTTAATGAACTGACAGTATAAACAAGAAATGTCAAGATAGTGTAAGATTTCTGTATCTCCGTATATTCAATTGTATATTTGATTACAACCAGACCTTAGATTATATAGCCCTAACTCCTAAACCAAAAAGAACTCTATACAATCACTCATCTAATAGGACTAGGACTCTAACATATACAACCACAATCATGCAAGATTCATAATGTATTCTCACACTCTCACTCAAACTCAAGGTGTTTTAGCAGAAAACACTGAGAATTTGATAAGAAGAAACTAAATCGAGCAGTAGTGTGAGTCTTGATGAAGAAGTCCGCAAGTTGCAAAGCTAAAGAGATGAAAGGAAGCGAAATAGAGGCTGATTGCAGATGCTGGCGAACGAAGTGACAATCAATCTCAATGTGTTTCGTCCGTTCATGGAAGACAGTATTGTGGGCAATCTGAATAGCACTGCAGTTGTCACAATAGAGAAAGGTTGGAGAAGACTGAGAGACACCCAAATCAGACAAGAGACAACGAAGCCAAACAACTTCAGCAGTGGCATGAGCCATAGCACAATACTCAGCTCAGCAGTAGAACGAGCAACGACTGATTGTTTCTTGCTTTTCCAAGAGATCAAGGAATCACCAAGAAACATACAGAAACCAGACGTAGACTTGCGATCAGTAACATCACCAGCCCAATCAGAGTCAGCATAGGTCACCAAGTCCAAAGAGAAAGTAGAGGACTACCGTAAGCCCTGAAAAATGGTACCCCTAAGATAGCGAAGAATGCGAACCAAAGCAGCCCAATGGGTAGAGCGAGGAGCAGAAACGAACTGACTAACCACATGAACAGCATAAGCAAGATCAGGGCGAGTGACAGTCAAATAAACTAAACAACCCATAAGCTCGCGATGTAAAGTGGAATCATCTAGAGGGACACCATCAGTAGAGTTAAGCTTCACATTAAGCTCAATAGGTGTATCAGAAACCTTAGTATCAGTGAGACCAGCACGATGAATGACTTCATTAGCATACTTAGCCTGAGACAGAAAATAGCCTTTTGGAGAAGAAGCAACCTCAATACCAAGAAAATACCGTAATGGACCTAGATCTTTCATTTCGAAGGTTCGAAAGAGATGCTGCTTGACCTCAGAGATAGCAAAAGAGTCAGAGCCAGTGATGATCATATTATCTACATAGAGTAAGAGAGCAACAAAACCAGCCGATGTATGTCTTAGAAATAAAGTAGAGTCGGAAGCAGAAGGATGAAACCCAAGCTTGGTAACAGCAGTCTGAAAGCGATCATACCAAGCACGAGGAGACTGCTTCAGACCATACAAAACACGCCGAAGACGACAAACCTGGCCAAAGGAATGGTGAAGGCCGGGGGGGGGGAGGGCGCATGTAAACCTCTTTAGTGAGATGACCATTAAGAAAAGCATTCTTAACATCCATCTGATAAAGAGGCCAAGACCGAATAGCAGCGACAGAGATCAAAGTACGGACAGTAGTCATCTTGGCAACAGGAGCAAATGTCTCCTCATAATTAATACCATACTCCTGAGAGAAGCCTTTGGCAACCAGACGAGCTTTGTAGCGCTCAAGAGACCCATCAGAATGAGTCTTGACTTTGTAGACCCATTTGCAACCAATCAAGTTCTTACCAACAGGCAAAGGAACCAACTCCCAAGTACTAGTTTTCTGTAGAGCAGACAACTCATCCTCCATAGCTTGAACCCAATGAGGATCCTGACATGCCTCCTTGTAAGACTGAGGTTCTGCAAAAGAGTGAATAGCAGACAAAAAGGTACGATAGGAAGCAGAAAAACAAGTATTAGACCAACCCAACCTTTTTGGAGGATGACGCACTCGAGGAGGATATCGGTGTGCAGCAGGATCAGAGTTGTCAGAAGCAGGAGGAGCAGTAGCAGGGGTAGAGACAACTGGTAGAGGAGGAGCCTTGCGACGAGAATAAACTAATAACGGAGGAGGAGAAGAAGCCGAAGAAGGAGAAGCAATTAGAGATGAAGGAAGAGGAGAAGATGGAACAAGCTCAGGAGGAATAGTGGAGATGTATTCATCAGACGAAACCTCAGAAGGAAATGGGTCAATGTGAACCAAATCCTCTTTGGAAACTGGAGCAGTGAGAGGGGGAAGCTGAAAGTAAGACAGACGTTCAAGAAAGGCAACATGACAGGAGACATAAAGGCGACGAGAGACAGGATCGTAACAGCGGTAGCCTTTCTGAGTAAGACTGTAACCCAAAAAGACACACAAGACAGACTGGGCACTGAGTTTGGTTCTATCTTTACGAGGAAGGAGGACAGCAGGAGGGCGAAAAGTATTCGGAGCAGGACCTCGGGACTGTGGCTGAGACGACTGAGAAGACTGAGCAGACTGACGGCTCTTCTTGGGACAGTTGTACTTCCAATGGCTCTTTTGATGGCAGAAAGCACACTCATCAGATGCTAGTGGCCCCTTCTTGGGCTTTGCATTGGTTTAGCAGAGGAGACGTAGTAGGAGCCAAGAAGACAGATGGAGACAGAGTCTGACCGGCCGTCTTAAGATGAGTTTCCTCGGAGAGGAGCTCGCGAACAATAGCATCCACAGAGGGGAGAGGAGACCGGTGAAGAATGCCACCACGGATAGCCTCATACTGAGGGAAGAGAACCGTTAGGAACTGCACTAAACGACCTTGCTCTCGAAACTCAACATAAGCATCTAGTGTCTTGAGGCTAGATGGTTCCATAAGGGCCAACTGATCCAGAGGCCTGTCATCTCAATGTAGAAATCTTGAATAGACAGATCCCGTTGACAAGCTCCCTGAATAGCTGTTTCCAACTCATACCGTTTGGCAAAGTTCGACTGCTGATAAACACTTTGCAAGTAATCCCATACCTCTTTGGCAGTGCTATATTTAGAGAACATCATCCCAATGCGATCATCCACAGAGTTATGGAACCAGGTCAAAACTTGAGCATTATCACAATCCCAAGTATCACATGAAAGCAGATATTCTTCTTGTTTGGGATCCGATGGACGAGGAATAGAACCAGAAACATATCCCCATTTTTTTCGGCCGAGAAGAAAATTTCTCATAATACTAGACCAATAAGAGTAGTTGTCACTTGTAAGTTTACATTTAATAGCTTGAATTTTATCTTCCGACATTGTAATAAAACAAGGTTTTTACAAAATAAATTAACCAGAGTGGTCAAACATACTAGACCAGCGACTGTAAGGAGAGGGGTCAAACAGAGAAATTAACCAGAGTGGTCCAAGAGAAGTATCTAGCGTTTGTAAGGAGGCGAACCAGATGAACCACGATCTCGATCAACCACGATCAACCAAAGAGGAAGCTGATCCGAACCCAATCTCGGACGACCATCATACCAAAAGGAACGATCACTATCAACCAGGATCGTGATGGCAAGACAACGGATCTGAAGAAGTGACGGAGAGACCTCAGACGAACCAGATGGGTCTACTCAAGAGAGAGATCAGGATCGCGATCAACCACGATCGACTTGAACAGAGACCGGATGGACCAGATGAACCGAACCCAATCTCGAATAGGATGGGTCACGCGTATCCACAAGGTTGAACCAAAGAGTTCAACGAAACAGAAAAGCTTCAACAATGGCTGCTAGGGTTTCGAAACCATGCTCTGATACCATGTAAGATTTCTGTATCTCTGTATATTCAATTGTATATTTGATTACAACCAGACCTTAGATTATATAACCCTAACTCCTAAACCAAAAAGAACTCTATACAATCACTCATCTAATAGGACTAGGACTCTAACATATACAACCACAATCATGTAAGATTCACAATGTATTCTCACAGGATCATGCAAGATACAACTCAAATTCACAAATGAGAGGATGAAATCTCTACCTTAGGTCTTCAATTTCAAGTATGGAAGCTTAATTATGCAATTCCTCTTCAAATCTTCTAAGTTTCCAAGCAAAACTCTTGATGAAACCAATTTTCCTCTACTCTCCCTCTCTCTCACGGTTTTCCTCTAGAAAAGGATGAAGAATGATGCAACTAAGCTCTAAACAATATTTTTGACAAAGTGGCCCACTAGTATGGCAAAAATGTAATTAAGTCCAACTAATGTACTTTAACTTAAATAACTCTAATTTAATCATTCCAAATCAAATTTAAATTAAAGCTACCATAAAATCACATAAATTCTAATTGACATAAAACACCAATAAATTTCAGATTCGGCCGTCGATAAGGCCTTCAATTCGCAATTCGAAATTAAAACACGAACAGATCATTTAGTAGTCAAACAGATAGAAATGCATTTACAGACAATACACTCATGCAATCAGTTTAGGATTTCCTCCTAATCAGTTACTTATCATATTCGGTCACAGTTTAGCAGTAATCCGAGGTGAGGGTTGTCACAAACCTAAATTGTAAACATATTCCTCTTTATCACCATCCGAAACTCTGAACGCATTAATCTTCATCACCATCATAATCCGGTCCAAATTAGTTAATGTTTCAAACAATCCTATTAGAAACTCTGAATTTCTCTTATCAAATTTCCATCTATATCTGTGCTCGTTTTCAAAATTTGTTGATACTTATAGAGCAACGGAGGACAATGACAACAACTCTAATGAGGTTGGCATTGCATTGGTAAGTTTATCTATTTTGCATTAATGATTCTTAGTCGTTTTCGATGGTTGCTATTTTGTTTGAGCTTGTTCGATACTGGTTTGCAGACTGTTAAGCTTTTGTTTGGCAACACAGCACTAAACAAAAACATTTAGTTCAGTATATGGGTTCTGAACAAAATCTTTATTTTTGTCACTGTTCAACCAAACATAATTTCCGACGAGACGAAGAGATTTCCGCCAGTCACTGATTTC